TTTAGAATTAGTTTCAGAATATTATTGGTTTTAAAACACATATTATAATAAGTAATTATCTTATTTTATCTGCAGTTGAATGAAGTACCTTGAGTACTAGGATCCTGTCTGCCTGGTTTACTGCTAATTCTCAGCATTTAGAGCATACAGGATCCAATCACAAGATTAGAATGAAACAATGAAATCTCCTTTTTGCTTTTCAGCCTTTACCTCTTTATCCTGTCGAAACTACTCACTTTCCATTACAACTCTCATAGTATTTTAACTGCTAGAACAGAATCTCTTCATACTGTAGCCAAATTAATTCTCCATGACTTCCCTTAAAATAAGTTCCTCTGTTCAGACATTCATGTCCCTCAGAGATCAAGACTAAACTTCTGATCTTGACTTTAAATATATCCACCCTTTGATGTTATTCTGCTGTTTTTAGAGCATTTTTAGTGAAAAATGTCAAGTCCATAAAAAGGAGCGTTGTAACAGACATTCAGTACTTGAATAAGAATTAGCAGATACTAACCTTTTCTTATATTTGCTACAGGTCTTTATTTTTAATTTATTTTTTTTAAGAAATAAAATAATGAAGTCATCACTGAAGTCTCTTTTTTATCTCATCTGAAACCCTTTCCTTTCTCTCTCTAGAGAGAATTACTAATATGAAATAGGTATGTACCCTTCCCATCCCTGCTTGTGTAGTTTTTAAATTTTCACGTAAGTTGCATTGCATTATAGAAATCATTCTGCTTTTTCACTAAGCATGCTAACATTCTTTTGGGGACTTATGTTGACACAGCTTCAGTTCATTCCTTTTTAATTGTTTTATGATATTGTGCAGTATGAATACACCACAGTTATTTATTTTTTTAATTAATTTCTCTATTGGTAGACATTTGGTCTTTTCCATTATTTGCCTTTAAAACAATGCAGTGAATATTTTTATATATGTGTGAGTCTCCTTAGTGTATAGATCCAGAAGTAGAAATGTTGGGCCCTAGGATATGAGGAATTTAAACTTCATTCAATATCACAGATTCTTTACTAAAGTGAACTCAGTGTTTGAGAGCTCCCATTCCCATACCCTTGCCAACCCTACGTATCATCACTTTTTGTCTTCAACCCCAATTCATATACTCTATTTCCAATAAACAGACTTCTTTTTCCTATCTTTTCCATTTCTCCACTCAGAATGTAACACATTGATGTAAAAACTTATCTCTCTTTACTTTTTTTTCTAAAAGTTATTTGTCTCATAGTCTTGTAGGACTCCACTAAAAAGTTCTTTTTTCCCATTCTTCAACTTGCCCAAAATCTTTTCGCCTCTTGAAATTATGTTATATATTTGTAGGTAAATGTCATTGTTACCCTCCTCTTTTGGGTTTAACAGACTCTTTCAAGTCAAGGTAGTTTTTTTATCTCTTGCTCTTTTTAAATTCCTCTAACACTCATTGCAGCTACATTGCTCTCTGTGGTCACTCAGTAAATTTTTGTTGGATGACAGTAGACGTTTATAAATCACATAGACATTTACCATTTTGAAATGTCAGTGCTTATGTTCTTGTTCAAGTAACTGACAAATGATTGATTCTGAGAATGTGAATTTCCACTATTTCAAATAAAGCATAAACAGTTTTCCTTGCCTTTCTTGTTGGAGGCCTCTGACCAATTGGTTGTGTCAATTTATAACCTTAGGAGAAGCGGATATGTGTAGGGAGGTCTTGTGCGTTTGGTTTATTTTATAAATGTGGCTGCCGATTACATTTTGGGAAGAAATACAGCATTGTTTCCACCTAATGAAATGACATTGAATAACCAGGTAGTCATAAGGGAACAATGCAGTGTCTGCCAAATTCTATTCATGTAACTTCAGTAGTGTAACGCTTTTTCCCCCTCTCAGTGTTCATCTGGCGAGTACTTTGTTATTACCTGTAGGAGCCAGATTTCTTTCCCACAAAAAAATTAGCTTAAATGAACTTTTGATATCCTCTTAACCTAGGGTTTCACTGTGTGAAATTAGAGTATTTGTTTTTTTGATCGTCCAACATTTTTATTCTTTTGTGATATAGAACCAAAAATTAGACCCTAAGTATAATAAAGTGATCCTTTGAATTAGCAACATGAATATTGCATTTTTGCTGCCAAAAATTCTCACTAGTAAAACTGCTCATTCATAGACTGCATATACTAGTCTACCTTTCCAAATGTTGATCCTAATTCTGCCCTGCCTTTTTACCTTGAGGAAGGTACTTAACTATGCATATTTATCATTTGTAAACTACTAGACTACACATTGTTTCTTATCCACACATTGTTTCTTATCCACAAACTGAATCCTTATTGCCGGCCAGGTTTATATAGTTTGATACTTGAGAAAGAGAGAGGAGAAAGGGAAGTGGGGAGAGGGGAGAGGGAGAGACTGGTGGTTCTGATAATTCAGTAGTGATTAGCCGTACTGACCATTAATATGAAGTTAATAATGCTGTCTTCCTCTGTACAAAGAACACTACATAGCACCTATCCATGTGAAAAGGATAAGTTTACTTTCTGTGTTGAACATAATGTTAAGGAGTTGCCACATGTTATAAGTACTTTGGAAATAAGGGTGCTCTATGAACCCAAATGGCCCCTCTTTTTGGTACATATGAAAAGTAATGCAGTGTTGTGAGCAAGAGCCTGGAGTGCAGCACCTGTCTGCCCCTTTCATGTTCTGGTTCCCATACTTACTAGCTTTGTGATCCTGGAGAAATCACTTAATCACGCTCTGCCTTTGTTTCCTAATCTGTAAAACAAGGGTAATAGCAGGACCTGCTTTTTAGAATTGTTGTGAGCTTTAAATGAATCAGCTATGAAAGGTATTAGGGCAGTCAGTACCTTCCCAGGCAGTAACCGGCCATTTTGGTTCAGAATCATTCATTTATTTTGTTTATTGTCAAGTAATATGGCATATTAGCAAGTATTGGTCATACCGTTGGTTGTAGAACTTTGGACAAGTCATTTGACCTCTGGACACTAATAACTTGCATGGTAAATTATAAGATTGGACCAGTGTCTTAAGGCTCCTTGGGGTTCCTTAAGACCTTGTGGTCCTAAGAGGGACCTTTGGTCCTCTTTGAACTTTAAGGGCTGAATTCCTCACATTTACCTCTTCACATTGTGTGTTTGCTTCATTACCCCTTGCAGTTATCGCCTTAGTCTGTGCATTTTTCATTTCCTACATGGATTACAACCTTGCTTTTTTAGAATTTCAAATTTGAAGAATTGTTGATTAAATCACAAAGTCATTTTTACAGAGAACAAAAAAAAATTTGGCTGCTTAGTGAATACCGCCATCTTGTGTCTACCATTTTACGAGAGAAAAATTTTAAAATGAGAAAAATTACATTGAACTAATTTTTACACTTTATCTTAGCCAAAAGGCCAAGAAGTGATTGATGTAATTTTTATATTGTTTGTTTTTGGTTGTCAGCCAAGCACAAAATATCAGGAGGCTTTGTCTAGAAGTAAATGGCAAAGGTTTATTTAAGGGTTTTGAATTTACAAATCAGAAACACTACCAGATAACACCTAGAGTGTTCCAAAGAAAAAAGAAAAATTGAGAGTTCTTATAGTAAAAAGTACATTCTTGAGAAGAATCAAGAATGCATTCTTAGCCTCTGGATTAGTCTGAGATGGTTATCTCAGAGGTTCAGTGATCTGGGTAATGGATGTCAGGGACCTGGACCCATGAAAGTTCTTCTAAGTTCGTCAGAGGGTTATCTGTAGGATTTATGTATATCTCCAGGCATTGCTCCTCTACCAAAAAGTCTAAAAAGTTTAAGTTGCTAAGCTAGTTAAAGCAAAAATTGAATTGTTTCCTCATGCCTCAGCCTACTTGATATTAGTAATTTACACCTTAACTATAGTGACTCCATTTTATTTTTTCACTCTTTCCTCGTGTTGAAACTTTTAAAAAAGAAAAAAAACACCTAGTCATTTGATGTAGTGGCCCAGTAACCTTGGTCAGACTGAGATGACAGTGTCAGTTAAAAAATAACTGACATTTGTTCATGATACCTCCTTTTCTGTTATCCCTTAGTCAAACACAGTGCAATGGAGTTGTGAAAATTAATGTGAGTCTGTATCAGGATTCTAAATAATTGTATTTCAGAATAGCTTTTGAAGTTCATATATTGATAAGCTGTGAATTGTTCTATGATGCATACTCAGCAGTTTTAGTATTGTATCTCTTGGTGCTTAGACCTTATTAGGCTCAGCTGTTTTACCTTAAAAGTGTACTATTCTGTTTATCGACAACAAAATTGTCATAGGAAGATAGAAGTTCTATATAGGATTTTTAGTGTTGTTTATTTGCCATGATGTGTTCATTTGCACCAAAAAAATATAAAATGAAACTGACTTTAAAAGCAGATGACACTGAGAAAATTTTGGCATTGATCTTTCAGATGTCTTTAAAAATAGTCATTCATCTTTATAGATATTTGCTTTTAACAGACAATGTGCGTTTCTTTAAAATGTTAAATGGCTTATTATAGCCCTTTGTTCTTTTAAAAATCTAGAGTGTAATTATTATTCAAAATTGCACTCTTCTCTTAACTCCACAGAGTTGTTCTGGAAGAAAACTCTGAAAGTCATGGTTCTTGAAGTTAAGTGTTCCTGGTTATGAGTTTGGACCAACATTTTTTTCCTTTATCTATAAAGTGAAGATAATATCTTCCTTACAATACTGACCACGTACTGGGTTCTTATTACATACTAGTTCCTTTGCTTTTTTCTTCCTTCGGCTTTTACTCCTGAACTCTCCAGGTGACGTCAGGGACTTATTCAGGCTCACAAAATTAATACATGTCAGAATTAGTTGTAACTAAGTGTTCTGACTCTTGTTGAGAACAAGAAAATAACTAACAGTAAAATCATTAACAATAGTATTTTTAATTTCTGAATTACTGTGTAGTGTTCCATTTCATTTGGCTATTTTGTTGTAATGTTTTCTTTTGTTTTAATTTTAGGCCACTGAAAGGCATGATATACTTGATCCAAGACAGTCCATTTCAGTCCAGAAATCTACAGTGGTGACAAGGACATGGGACTCCTTCTGCCGTTTTCCAGATGGTTCAATACAATTGACATCCTGGCTGACAACTGTGAAAAAGAACCTTGGATTATTTTATTTTATTTCTGTGGTATACCACAATCCCAAATCCATAGGACACATCAGGTAACCTGTCTTCTCATTTGAGAAAAACACACCCCTTTTTCTTTCAAAATCTTACATATAAAAAGCAAGGAGTCAGAGTATTTTTAAATAACGGTCTCCCTCCCCCCAGTAACCTTATTGTTTTGAGAAGGTACCAGTTAACCTTGGTATGGAATATAATTAAGGAAGACATGTTTTTTACTCAGTTGAGTCTACTTGTGACTTTGGAATTTATTTTTCTCTTTTTTTTAACTTTTCAGGTGTATTTATGGATTTCTGAAATCTATTTAGATATTTAATTGTAAAATATTCCTTCAGGAAAAGAACTCTTGAATTTTCAGATTTATATAAAGTAACCAAGTTCTTTCCCCCCACACGCCCCCCCCAAGATTTTATCATGAAATTTTCAGAAATATAGAGAAGTTGAAAGAATTTTACGTGAACAACCATATACCACTCCTAGATTCTGCCATTAACATTTTATCATACTTAATTTAACCTGTATCTGTCCATCTATATCCATTCCTCTATCTAGCCATCAATTTATCTTAATTTTTTTGATGCATTTGTAAATAAGTTGTTTTTGTTCTCACCACATAAAGAAATTTGTAGTTAATGTGAGGTGATGGATTGTGGTAATTAGTGATATATACGTGTCAAATCATCATGCTGTATACCTTAAACTTAAACACATTGTTAGATGCCAGTCATATATCTCGGTAAAACTAGGGAAAAAAGTTCTTTACATCAAGTTCTGCTCTTTCATTTCACATTTCCTAAAATGACAGCTACCTGATATGTTCCTATTTGATACCCAGGGTAAAAAGTCCCCATTGTGTTCTTAAAATCACTGAGGACATGAAATACATTGGCATCTTGTGTATTTGCTCTCCTATGGAGTCCATGTACTAGAGCATCTGGTAATGTGTTGTTTGGCGTTGAATTACGTAAGTCAGGAGAGTTTTTAATGTTTGATTTATAATGCCAAACAGTTAATAATACAGCTTCACAACTGTGTTTTATATAGAATGTTGCTCTTTTAGTTTTAAAATTATTTCCTTTCAGAATTGCAGAGTATTTAAGAAGTTTGGAATTTTGGAAATTCAGAGGAAAGCTATGATATGAAAACCCTTTTCTCACAGGGTAATACTCATAAAATCCCTTTAGAGAAAAAGATTTTTAATGTGATCTAAATATACATTTATAGCTCTCCCAACCATTACCTTCTATCTCGATATGATTCATTCCTTAATGTTTCTTAAGAACTTTCACAAGTGGTATGCGCATCAGAATCACCTAGCACCCTTATTATAGCTCTACCTCATTGTATTATGATTCTTTTTTTATTTCAACATGTCTGCTGCTAAACTGTATACTCCTTGAAAGCAGGAATTTTGTTTTTATCTGGGTATACTCAACATTATTCCTGGAACGTGGAATACTCAGTAAATATTGTACAGTACTGAAGGTTTCAGGCTAAATTAAATATTTTTTTCTTTCTTGATAAGGCTTCAAGTTCCTTGTAGAATTCTAAAATAACCTTTGCTGATGAGGATGTCTGATACTGTTACTGTAAAACATGAAACTGAAACAATGAAGGATTTGGAAGCAGAAATGAAAGATACAACCAGAGTTGAAAATCTTACCAAATCAGAGAACTATGGGAAGATTTTGGCAGAGAAGAATGAACGTTGTATTGACAACAATATTGATTTGCAGGTAAACAGGATTTTCTCTTTGACTACAAATACTGAATATTCAATATATAGTTGTACTCTTCATACAAAACTCACTTTCAGAATTTTAAAAGGGTAAGTTCACCCATTGGGACATGTTTATCAGGTGGCTTTTGAGCCATCTGGATTAGCTTGTTGAATCTAGCTCTTTGATTTGCTTGTATCATGTAATATAATTCTTTCCATTTGTATGTGGCCAATACATTTTTTACTGGCTTTCTACTTTTTCAGTCCACTCTGCACCTATCAGTATTGTGAGAGTCCAGAATTCAACCTAAGAGCTCCAAGAGGATAGGAGAATAGAGAGATGGAAACTGCGGAGGTTCTATTGGCAAAAACAGCCTGTAGAGGAAGCAGTCAGTCATGACTGAGAAAGAAGATTGGTGGGGGAAAATAAGTCACTTGAGGCTTTTGATGCTACACATGTATGATAATTTAGAACTGACCACTGAAAGGGCTTTTAATTCCAGGCACAGATTGAAATTGAGGAGTTGATCAAAGATTTAAGATAGGTAAAAATTAGTTTCAAGTAATACTTCCAGTATTCAGCTCTAAGTGTTCCAGTTATCTGTTATGTAACAAATTATCACAAAACAAAAGGCTAACATTTTTAAACAGGGAATTTGCTAAAACTCTATTGTATTTTATTTTTTTAAAATAAAGTTAGGAAAAGGGAACAAGGGCTTGACTGAGTGAATTTTCTAGTATATAAGGAGATAAAAGAAGGCCCTCATTGATATTTAACTGGCAGATGGGCCGGCCTGGACGGTCCAAAACTATTTCACTCACATATCTGGCCCTTGGTGCGAATGGGTGGAATGTAGGCTGGCTAGAACTGGGAGCACCTACTTATGGTCCCTGCAGCATGTAGGCCCCAGAGGAGTCAGACTTATTTAGGGGTCCCAGAAAGAATGTTCTAAGAGCCACGCAAAGCTGCCAGGTCTCTTTTGAACTAGGCTCAGAAGTCCCAAAATGTCACTCACATTGTTGTCTCTTGATGACACATGTCAGTAAAGCCAGGCCAGATTCAGGGGAAGGGGAATTAGACCCTGTGTCTCAGGAGGAAAGACCTGCACCACAAAAAGTTACCTCAGAATACCATCTTGAACACTTCTGTTTTAGTTTAGCCCAATGAATAAAGATTTGTACTTTAGGAGGAATTTTCTGTCATTCTTTCTATAGTCTAAAAAAAAATGCCAAAAATTATACTTTCATTTTTTTTATTATAAGTAAAGAAGGCTTTTTTAAAGGTTGGTTCATTCCTTCATTCAGTCAGAAACTTCATTTATTTCTCCATTATGTGCCAGAAATGTGTTAGAAAATGATAGCAACTCCTACAACTGGCAAGGGGCTTAGAGTCGAAATAACTTATACAGCAGAGAGTTCAGTAATGGAAATTAGGAATGGAAGTATATAAAACTAGAAGTAATTTTTTGTCCTAATGTAATGTAAAATAAAGTCAACTTTTTAAAACTTGAACAGAGAATAGAGTGTCTTGTTAAAAAGGATCTGGTTAATATAAAGTTAACCTTTTAACTTAATTTGGAGTTACCTATTATGAAATACCTTTTTATGTTTTTTCTAACATACTACTAGACATTTCACATTCCTTAGGTACCTCGAAGATGCTGTCTAAAGTTTTAATTTTAAATAGTAACTATTATTCTCACTCAAATTTGGATGTATGTACCAATTAATGTAGGTTTCCTATTAAGAATTTGGAATAAACCAATATATTTTCTAATTTCCTTTGTATCATTTTGAAAATCAGCTAGCATAAATATAACTTAAGTGTGTTGTCTTGCTTCAGCATAGTAATATTTAAAATGACTTAGAAAAATGGAAATTTTTTCCTAAAGAAACAAACATTTCATCCATTTCCAAGTCTTAATTTCCTTACCATCCCCTTTACTGTTTTAGCTAGAAAAACTCATTTTTAAATGAAGGGATGTCATAACTTCTTTAATACTGTGAAGAAATCTTATGATTTTCTATCTATTAAGGATAGCCTTTACACAAAAAAATAATTTTCATTAAACTAGACAAAGGCCAGCAGACAGCAGACATCACCTTGGATAAACGGTTCCAAGTAGAGATTATCTCATAGAGCTCCTTGATCATTTCTTTTACACATAATTCTGCTTGTGTGATGCTCTACTCTTTAAAAAATGTTAGTTGTGGTTTTTTTCCCAAAGTTTTGTTTTGGACTATAATCTTTTGTAGAAGTTTTAGGACTACTTTCTTAAGAATTTCTTAAAAATACTGTAGCGCTAATTCAAGCAGTGTGTGTGCATTTATGTCAAGAATTTAACTTGCCCACATAATTGCTGTGGAGTTGTACAGAATAATTGATAATGGTCCCAAATAATTGTGCAAAGCATTTTTGCTTAGCAGCTTTGCTACTGTCACACACTATTTCTATTGCAAATCTTGTTATATGTTGTATTTTCTATGTTCATTAAGCATTTGGAAGATTGGGGGGGGGGTGAGGTGTCTGGTTTCCAATCTAAATCCAGAAAAAATTTAATTTGTTAGACTACTACTAATCTTTAACAAAGGATAAATGGGAGGGGCAGTGTTTGCTTTGTGTTACTTAGTGTAACTTACTTTTATGGCCTCTGATTTTTCTCAGGGATAGATTTCTCAGATTAGGTAAATTACTTGTGTTGATTTTGCTGTCATTTATTTGAAATATAAAATTAGGAATCTTGTGTTCTGCTTCCTTATTAAAAGGTTCAACTTGCCCTATTTTATGTTTTTACAATTGTATTTTTTACTTGACAAATGTTTTGTCTAGTGGTATTAATCTATATGTGTGTGTATGTGTGCATATAAACACAATCCAAAACATATTTTAGAGCAGTTCAAACAACAATTTCTCTTCCCATAAACGAGTCCAAATTGCATTAGTAACCTTTGTTGCGGAGGAAATAAGAGAATTGATTTTTGTTAATTAGGCTTTATGTGCTAGAGTGCGTAACCGTTTCTGCTATACCTATATGAGTGAATTTTCCATACATAATCATTTGAAGTAGGTATTTAGTATATTTTCAGTTTCTGTAACAAGCCTTTGATAGCAAGATGAAACTTTTATATCTTGTATCCCCCAAGTGAATTCTTTTGCATTCCTTTTCAAAGGGGAAAATAAGGCAAGTAAGGGGCAAGAAAACAATGGCAATCCAATAATGTTATTAGAAAAACTCAGGATACAGGCCATACTTCTCCAACAGTGAGGTTAATGGGCATCAAATTCCTTAATTGATGAAATGTGAAGAATTTCTGTTTAAAGTGTTGAATAAAGGTCCGTCTGTGTCATGGATCGGCAAACTTTTGAGACAGAAGAGCCAATCCTGTCCCTCACAACAATTTAAAATTTATTCGAGAGCCATAAAACAGATGAAATCACCATTCTGTGAATAATATCCTTTAAAAATTTTATACATGAAACTATGATAGTTTTATATTCATTTTCAATTTTACTTTAGAGCCACATGTACGTACCCAAAGAGCCACATGTGGCTCGTGAGCCGCAGTTTGCCGACCCCTGGTCTGTATAAATCATACAATTCTTAACTATTTTCCTATTTGTCTAACAAAGATAAAAGGAATGTATGTAATGTACCTGGTACATAATTAGAGCCTAATAATGGTAGATGCTATTAATATAATATTTGTAATCATCATAATTGTTTTATTTGTTATTAGCAATAGCACAACTGTTATATATGGTTCCTCACATTGGTCCCTTTATTATTATACAACATAGATTTTTTTTCTTTAGTAATAATAAAAAGTAAAATGTATTTATTGACATAAGCTCCCCAAAATTGCAATGCAGTAGTTTTTATTCTTTGTGTTAAGTTCCCTATCTGTATACTTTACTTTTATTGTCTCATTAATATTTAATGAGTTCAACTTTTTAAAAAGACCACTCTCCCAACTCAGAAAACTTTGTCTTCTGTTAATCCAGGGGAAGTTATCAACCTAGCCTCTGTTGTTTTTGCTGCTCCTGACCTTTAGCTAGACATTTAACATTTTAATTCATTAACTTCTCCCACATTATTACTAGTAATTCTTACTGTTGCCTTGAAAAATAGTGAGAATTACTAAGCTCTTCAGTGTATTGAGAGCCTTAGTTGAAATGTGTCAACCATTACAGTTAATTTTGTTCATAATAATTACAATAAAAATTGATCCTCTTTTTGAAATAAGTTAGATTTCCTCTTAACCTTCCATCAGGCGCAACTGATCTCACAGATTCATTGCACACAAATTTTCAAATATCTAACAGCTAACTTAAACATCGTGACTCATCACTTCTGTATCTTCCCCTCTATGGTAACCTATTGCCAGTCGTGTTTGTGACTTAGTACAGTAAAGACATATTTCATAGTGGCATCTTTGTATGCAATGAATCTGTGAGATCAGTTGCGCCTCACAGATCTCACAGGAGGGTTAATTGAGTTATATGAATTGGTTATTTTGATGCTAACACAATATAACTCAAAGATTATTCTGTTCTTTCTTAGCAATACAATAAATCTCATGGTTTATGATCTCAGTACTTTTGTTTTTCTTTCCTTTGATAATAATGAAACATTAAGTAGATCTAACTTTCTTTTAGCAGAACAAAGACACAGAAAATTAGTGAAAATATTAGGCCAAAGAGACATTATGAAAGCAAAGAAACATTAGAAAACACAACCTATATGCCTTCCTTTTATATGAAATTGACTCCATAGGTTTAGGTTTTTGTTTCTTTAGTCACTAGTTGTAAAGCTCTCTGGTTTGGGGTAGCACTTAAGGTACAGATAATGTTTTCAGGATTCTTTCAGATTCATGTTCTGAAATAAATTTTAAATCTGTTTAAAGCTCCTTATTGTAAACAAAAGACCAAGATACTAAAATCACTAACCGTATTTATTTCTCTTTGCTCTCACATCTACAGGGCAGTAATTTTTTTTTAAGTCTATGTTTATTGTA